CCCCCCCCCCTCCCCTCCCCTCGTCCAACGCCATGTATCACGCCTTCAGTGTCTCTGCTTGCTTCTGTCCTACCTGGACGCCGTTTTCTAGCGCGGTCATGTTCTCCTCCACCATGATGAGATTCGCCCTCTGTGCCTCCGGCACCCTCCAGCCATACTCCTTCATCATGGCCGCCATGTCCCTCAGCCGTTGGCGGGCCTGTTAGGTTCAACGTTGTTAATGGTCGTCGTGATGTGGTGGCGTTATTGTGCTGCTACTGCCGTTGGCGGTGTTGTTGGTGATATTGTGTTGCTCCTGCTACTGCTGCGGCTGTTGCGGTTGTTGTTGCCGTCAATGCTCTACCTCGTCAACTCTGCAAGCCCATCACACGTTTCCAACGAAAATGTTCTGGCGTTCGATGTACGCGTCACTTGGCAGCGACAGGACAAGAGGATCCCCCCCGCAACTGCTGAAGCTTCCACCGAGCGATCGATGCTTCGACTTATACGTTGGCTGATGCGCGCGTGAGACAACCCCGGTCCCCTACATTCATGTACTAGCCCGGCGGACAGAGACCAAGCACAAATCTACCTGAAGGGCCGCAAAAACCAACGGAAGTTGTTTCGCACAACGTGCCGCAACTCAACTTACGCATGCAAGCATTTGAATGGGTCACCTCCGGAAAATGCTACAACCTGGTACCGTTTGTTCTTCAATACTCTTGTTAAATATCAACACATCATTCCCGCAGCGCCTTTCCTCGACATGTCCGGGATTGTCCTGGTGTGCCACGGCGACGGCCTTCTTCTTCGCCACGAAGTCTTCCACGCTGGCGCTGCCCCCCGCGATGTGGGGGATGATCGCGTCCAGCTCATCCAGGAGCGCCCCGCTCCCCACCTCCATCAGTTCTGGTATAAGTTCCTGTTGAAGAGGAAACGCAAGGAACGCGTTTATTTCTCTGCTGCTAAACAGAAGGGGGTGACTTCAGTTATCTTCATGTTACCACCGCGCGGTACTTTTCTGTTCATTTCTACCGCTCTCCCTATACCCTCTGAAAATCTTGGATCCGGGACAATTTTCATGCAGACAGGATACATTAGGATGCTTTGAATATGCCGTGGTCGTTTCCGCGTTCGAATTGAGCCCAGTTTTAAACGTTGTCGGTTGGCGATTACCCTGATTGCGTTGAGGCACTGCACCGGGCTTGGCATGAGCCGCATCCGCATGTGTTCACTGTCCACCTCCATGATCCCCACCTTCGTCACGACAATTGGCACGCGAAATATCAGCACGAACGCGGCATGGGGCGTAGAAGGACGAGCTGTTTCACGCGTAACGACAACGCTTGAGGTAGAAGAACCACAGCACAACATGTGGTCGGCACATCTACAGCGTTGAGGTTTCGAAGTATAACCGAAATGCATAATAAACTCGACCAAATAGTTTGAAACAGCACCGCAACGGAATCTTGCAAAACGAAAAGAAAAACAATTTTCGTGTACGCTTGAATGTAACGAGACCAAGCAAGCATTGCCGGTGATGAAAGTTGGATCATGAAAAGACTGTTTGACGGTACCCCGGAAAATATCTAGGCTTTGCGCCAACATCACACCGGAGGCAAACGATGTTGCGCGGGTCGTTGCAGCCACTAGTCCGCTCGCCTGAATTGAGTGCCCAGTCTCTGCTTTCCCCCTTCTCGTGCATTCGATGTGTTAAATCCACTGTAAACGAGCAACCACGGGTACGACCCCGAAATCCTCCCGCTTTTCAGGCACACAAAAGCCACCGTTTCCTCTTCATCGTCCCCACCTTCCTCCTCTACGGCGTTCACGTACGTACCGTGGCTCTCGCAGGTATTGCCTCGAACTCCTCTGTCATGCCGCGGTATTTGTCGATGTCCTTGTGGAACTCCTCCAGGGAGCTGTTGGCATACGCCTGCTTGACCCTGGTCATGTGCTCGTTGTTGGCCATGAAGGTCTCTCTGTACGGTTCGAACACTTGGATGTACTCCTTCACCTTTTCGTGTTTGTTTCATACCACGTGCGTGTTTTTCGTGACAAGAAAAAGGTCGATGAGCAAGCGGCAGTTACTGATTTGGCTAACACCGTGATCAACGTTCTTGTTGTCGGTCCATGATTTGTGCCGACGAACTTTGACCGAACCAGAGGGAACTCCATTTCAGGTACCGCAAGTGGATCGCAGTATCAGCCTTCTCAGAGGCGTCGTACCAGCGGCAACCAAACAATCCCACGAGGCATCACAGCAACAGCATCGTCCACGATGACGACGGCGGCGACGACCACGACATACCTGCTCGAACGCCGATTGAAGCCCCTTGAAAATCTTGCCGGTTATGTGGTCAAACCGTTCATCCCGACGGACCATGTCCTGCACTCCCACCTGCAAACAAACAGCACAACAATCACCGATTGAGGACGGGATTGATGTAGTGTTGTTTTTACTTCCATTTTCTCTAGACTTGAGCTTGATGTTGTAGAGACCGCCGAGGGAAAGAACGTATGTGTGCACAGAAGGGAGTGGGGTGAGGGGCCTGGCATCAAAAACTATGAACAGTGGAGGTGGTCGTATACTTTGACAACGGCATGATAACAAGGAGACGAAACCTTATTTTCTCGCTATCTTCAATTCATCAACACATTTATGGTGCTCACACGCCATCACTTTGATTTCTGGTGTTGGGTTTCGTCTCAGAACAAGGCCTTGTCTCCTTGCTTTTCTTCTTGGGAAGCAAGCGTCATGGTTCTTGTAGTTGCATTCATGAGACAAGACAATTATTGTGTGTGTGTATATCTCCACTTCTGTTTTGATTATTCTTGCCTCTGCTCGTCCGGCTTCCTCGCCGTCGTCCCCCTCGGCCATCACGTACGCGGCTAGGTCGGGGCTCGTCAGGACACGCTTCGGGATCCCGATCACCTCGATGGATGCCGCCAGGACGCCTGGATTTCTAGCGAATGTGAGTTTCGCCCTTTTCGGTTTCAACTGTCTGCTAGTACGTAAGCGACCATGGTGGAATATGTGATGCACTCCATTTTTCTTTTGGCCCAACTTTTTGTCCGTCTAGAGAAGGGAGGGTTCAACGTCACCTCGAAAGCTCTCCGTAATATCCTCCGCTGTGGGTGAAATGACGAGCTCTCCATCGTCTGTGAAGTTCACAGATATTCTGCGCAAAGGAGCGACAGCACCGGAGAAGAAACAAACAGGCACGAACTACGACGTTCATATATAATGGTAGAGATGGCCAAGATTGGCAAAAGAACGAGTTCTCAGACGAACCATCAAGCAATCTAGGCCTTTCTCGGCCACGGTACCCGCGCGTATTATGCTGCGAGCGATGTGTACATATTTCCATCCATCGACAATGCTCGGGAGCTTCGTGAGAAGTCCACCAGCAAAGTCATAGGCAGCTTCGAAACTTTGCCTTGAACCAGAGTATCTTTAATCTAATGGATGCTTTGCCAGGAGAGCAACAATGTAAAGGCGAGGAAAGACGAACGTGAGGATGGGCCAGGGAGGGAAAGTTGATCACGTGCCGGAAAATCTGGAAATTGAAACAATCTTCTGCCTTCGTTTGCAGAGGATTCTCAAAGACTGTGTGACTGCCGATACTTTCTACCGGAAGAGCGAAGTGCCTCTGCTTCCTTTCTTTTTTCGCTCCTCCCTCTCGCCCTCAGAGCACAACACTAGAGCGGAAACACCGTCCGTGTATTGGACCAGCTATATATGGTCGAAAGAAATCGTCGTCCATGAGGCGACAGCCGTCACTCTGTGCATTTAAAACAGGACACGCTTGAAGAGTTGTGGCCCTCCGGGCACCCCGGTTGATGCCTCAACCTCAACAACAGCTCTACGAAAAACGCCGCGGTCTAGATCACACCGTTTCTCTTACCTAAATAAGGGCACTTGATCCCCCGCCGACTCTCCTGCTGCCTTGCGACCGCCCCCACCGCCAGGACCGCCACCCGCACCCCCTGCACCAGAAGCACCACGATCAAACCCTTCCGAGCCGCCAACTACCCCCCCTGCCCCTACCGCGCTGGTTGCGGCAGGGAGAGCGATTTCGGCGCCCGGCAGGGCGTGGATGATCTTGATGTTTCTGGTGGCGACAAGTCTCGCGGCCTCGGCGACCGAGCCCAGCACCTTACGGTGGGAACACGAGAGACAAGAAGAAGCGGTCGCCAGGACAGGAAGTTGTCTCAGCGCCTGCTGTGAGTTTGGACACTTGCGTGCCTGCCAAAGGGGGGTGATGGTTTTGTGCTGCTGACCACAAGCGGTACGCACCCATTCTCAGGATAGGCAAATGGGGTTCAGCCTGGGGATCAGAGTTCGAGACGCGTCTCAAGGAAGCAAGCAACTGGTGGTCCTCGAGAGGAGTGATTTAATAGCGAAACTCTCCATACGAACATATTGAGACTGCCTCTACGGGGTCGAAGTAGTCAACTTGTGGTGATACGAAAGGCCTACAACGGACATGCGCCTCGGTCTCCTCGAGGAGAGAAGATTGTCGAGTTTTCATCCTCTGCTGTTTTTGCATTGCCCCTGTCGTCAACCCGGTAGGTGCATTGCGAGTGCGGTTCACGTTCATATGTATGTGCGCCTATTGTGTCAAACGGGAGAGGGATGGTGACGACGAGATGCGTATTTCATGGCCACCGCCGCTGGGTAAGCAGAAGAGCATCGCTCTTTCGGGCTTCCACTTCGTCAGTGAAGGATGGGGGGACCCGGAACGCAAACGTGTCAATGCTTGTTTGAGCATCACATCCAACAATATCCAGTCACCGACCACCACACGAACAAGGAAGCGCAATAATTTCAACATTTAACGGCAAACTCGTGCTCACCAGGTCCCTTAGCGTGTCCACCACGACAAAGTCTACCAGGCGGAGGAACTGCGTCAGACGGCGGCACTCGGACCGCAAGCTCGTGCGCTCCATGAAGGTCATGCGATGGTCAGCCACAATGCCGTTCGTCCGCAGGAAGCCGTCCACCACCTCGTCAAGAGACGCGTGAGCGACCTCGAGAATTTTCTCCGAAAACTCTTGGAGTAGCTGGTATGCGTTGAGAGACGTACCACATGCATCCAGAAAAACGCATGGACGATGTCACGAATGTTGGTGGGATTGATTGAAGTACAACAGTGATGTGGTGGGTCTGGCAACGAAGTTCGCGCCGTCCAACGGGAACACGTGCGAAGGGGGAGACAGGCGGGTCCACGCCATACCACCAGTAGATATTTCACAAGAAAACGGGTAGTCTAGGGCAAGAGCTGCGATGCCATGGGAGTAGAAGCCCTCCATGAATGATCGGAGGGATGCAGACGATGAAGATCGGCACGCAAGGCGCATTCAAGAGCAAGGCCTGGGCTGCCAATCGCCGTCATGAGCACGGTTCTTCCCTTGGTCAAAACGACCGGGTGGTCGTCTCGTGAGGCTAATAAAGAAAGATGAGAAGACAGTCCGGTCGTATCTCATTTCGGTTTCCTCGCCGCCGACCACACGATTTCCAATTGCAGTCCAAGGAACTCCGAGTGCGCGTACCAAGCTCAAATCTGACCCAAAACAGAACAACAATGCCAGGCCGCCAAGCTCTAGAAATTCACTGCACAGCAACAGCGTCGGTTGTGTAGCAAGAACATTACCAGCTGAAAAGCAGCGCCTCTTTTGGTCCTTCTGTATGCAGAAAACGCCAGCGGACACACCTGCGCCATTTCTTGCTGATTTGTTCGTTGGCGCTCCAGGAAGGCCTCAAGGGTGATGGTCTCCCCCTGTCCCACCGCGAACAGCCTCCGGGTTTCCACGTAGACGCACTCCTTCCTTATCTCGGCAATGGCCAGCCTCAGCGGGGGCACAAAAGCGAACAGCCCGGTCCTCAGGGCCGAAGACGCCTGCGAGAACTTAAAGGCCCTCACGGTTCTCTTCCACACGGCGAAGCTCTTCCAGCGCCGGTACAGCTCGAAGAACGATATCCTTTGGGTTTTTTGTTTCAGTTGTTTGGTGCATGTGCGGCACGTCGAGTTGTATTTCTTCAAAGGAAGTGACACGTACATGCTGCTGTTCACGCTACATCACAAAGCCCGCGGTGCGTCGTTTCCACTACAGGACCCCTTCCGGCGAATAGCATGAGCCATGCACTCCACCAAAGGAAAAAGACGAAGACGGTCAAAGTCCGTCGCTACATGTTCAGTGGAGCACTACAGACACGCAAGAGGCTCAGCCCTGCAGTCCAAGGTCACGGACATCATACGTGCACTCACGGGCCACTATAACATCTGTTAGGGGAGAAAACGACATCTGTCAGGGGAGAAAAAGGCCATCGGTTCTCTCTAAATCCCTAGTTGCACATTGTCATGAACGACTGGGCCAGAAAAAAATTCCAATGGCAACCTCCTCAGAACGATGCGCAATGGGCGTGTTCCTCATGCAAATGATCGGCCAATTCTTCAACAATGAGTAGGTTTGGTCGTCGGCAAACACTACGAGTGTCAAATACTTCCACACCGGACCTTCTGATTTGGTGGAATAGCACGTATTCCCGTTCCCATCGGTCCAGCGCCGTGAATTCGCTCGACGAATCTTTCAGGTGGGTTATCCCAGCCCGGCTGAGCGTGTAGTAGTCGTGCCCCTGCCCCTGCCCCTGCGCCCCCCGTCCATGGTGGGCCCCAACGTTCCCGCCTCCTCTTGGCGGGGACTGCCCCTTTCCCTCGCCGCCTTGCGCGTGGGCGCCGGCCGTCGGTGGCGCTTGTCGGTCGAAGCTACTTGTTACCTTTGGAGAGGGACAGAAATTCAAGAAGAAACCCATCCGGTTCCAGGAGGTGTTAGTCTGTTGTGGGAATGGCAGGGTGCGTCAGAGCGGGGTTAGTGTGGGTTGTTTGGCTCGGCGTTTCTGTGCGCAGATGTTGTGTCATTTCCGATCTTATGCTCGTGTGTTCGGCAGGAGGAACCTAATTGCTCTGCCGGGCAACAATATCCAACGCCCCCGCCCGAGATTCTCTCATTTGCAGCGTGACAACGATGGCATGGTGTGATTGTGCGATGTCAGCGCCTTGTTGCGTCTTGGCGTCGCCCCAGCCGTTCAGGTTCAACGGCAAGCATCACGTATCAGCCCTTGGTATACTGTCTCGATTCAACACGAGGAAAAAAGTTGCACAAGTGAGTGAGATCGGCGGAGCCTTCGACGTGTACTTCTTTTTGGAATCCGGCACGTGGGAAGCTGCTTGGAACCTATGGAGCTCACACAAACGCACCTCCAAGTTGTACGCCGTAGCGTCCGTCCCGGGCTTCTGACGAAGGTACAGGAAATGACCTTCGCTGTTGGAAAAGTCAGCTAGTTGGTCTCGGTCAAGATGTAGTGATTCCAGAAACGTCTCCTCCGGCACAGCAGGCTCTAAGTCACCGTCGTCATCAAGGAAAACGGTGTTTTTCCCCGTGGGCCGTCCCCCGAGCTCGACACCGGCCACATTTGATCTCTGCAGCGGTGACGACGGCGATACGTTTCTCCTCAAACCGCCGCAGTGTGCCATCTGTCCTTCTGCTTTTTCTTCTCCTCTTGTTCTGCTGTGCTTTGCACCCTTGTGAGGAGTCAGTTGGACACCCCCTCTGCCATTTCCCTCCCCCACTATTGCAGGCGGATACAAGACTCCGCTTTCTCTAGCATCAGACGATCTATTTCTGTGACCGATCCCGACCTCGCTGGCGGACCCTGAGTATGGCAATGCGCTCACACCCCTCGGGGGGCTGTTGGAGGCACGGCGTGTTCGATGATTAGGTAGGGCCGGGGGCAATGAGGTGAGCTTTCGGCATGGGCTTCTTCCCTTAGATGTAGCAAGGCATTCATGGGCAAAAAGAGATACCTGGCGGAGTATAGCTTGATGTGTGGTAGCACAAAATGTGTTTTGTGCAAGGTGTCGCAACTTCATTGCGCAACGGCCACCCATTTAATAGGTTCATTACACCAACAGTCAAGAGCTCCGTTCTCTACAATCCCGAAGGGTGTAGGCTCACCTAAGAGGTTCTCGACCAGGAGAAGACCGTATGGAAGATAAGCCCCTTCCCGCCCGCAGGGATGATTTGGGAGACATCTTTTCGCTTCTGAGGTAGGACGCCCCGTCATCTCGCGTATTTACTATGGCAAGGGTCGATCTTCCAGCTCCTGCCTGCCCTAGAGCCCCTAGACTCCGGCTAAGCATCATCCCACCACCAACACTCGGCTGCTGCTGATGTGCTGCTGATGGCCCTTGCTTCTGTGGCTGATACCGCGCTGCGGCTACACTGCCGCCACTGCTACGCCGTGACCCCGCGCTTCTCATCCTTTTCGTGGCATTGCCACCTGATGGTCGGTTTCGCACGCCGATGCGAGGCGGGCTGTTGATGCCGTCCTCCCGCTGAGAGCAACCGCCGTTTCCCGGTGGCGATGCCTCTGAGGATTGGTGATGAATTAGCCTTGGCACTAAGGCATCAGACTGTTGTTGCTCCGCCAGCGAATCGCTATCAAAGCTTGTTGCCACAGTTGCCGCTGCTGCGCGAGAGCGTATGAGGCCCGACACACCGCGGACGGGAGACGCCACGTTGTCGCCAACATCGCCAACATCTTCACGATACTGGTTGTGGACTGTGGTAGTCCCAAAGGAGGTATTCCGAGGCGGAGAATTTTCGGCAAGTCGCTGTTGTCGACCGGGACCAGCGTATAGCCGACCGACGAGGGCGTCCGGGGAACCTCCCGTGCCCAGGGCAGACTGTTGTAACCACGGCGGCAGATAACGTGCGTTGACGGTTGTATGTTATGTAGTCTATCGGGTAGGGCCATATGGGGTACATTCATTGCTTCTGGGCGCAAGGTGTGTGACAAATCACAGTGCGACCAAGTATGTGAGTGTGAGTAGCAGAGGCCTTACTAGTGTACAGGACCCCACGTTGCGTGTTTGACAGGCACAAAGGCTCCGCCGTCCTTGACGCAAGCACAGGCGAGCGATCTGCACGGCATGTCGTTGGAAATACTGCTGTTGGCGGCGTTGACGACGCGTTACCCATAGACTACTGTTGTAATTCTACAAGCGAAGAGCATTTCAGCGCTCTTGTGGTTTAAAGCCCGGCCGCGATTGACTGCTGCTGTGTGTGCATGATAACATCGCCTTCATTCTTACCCGATCAGACGGCGTTGCTACGGGGCGAGAATTTTCATTTCCTCCCGGTAGATCGCCATCCTTAGTCGTCGCGGCCCACGCTACATTGGCCCGGCTGGGCCTCCTATTACCCCCATCCATTCCGCTGCTGCCTGGGACAGCAGCTCGTTGATATAGTCTGTCCCTTTATCCCTCACTCTGAGCAGGGTGGCCGGGCGGCCTTCAGACCAAAGCGCCGAAACGGCAGGAATTGCCCCGCCGGACAAGCGGCGGAATAACCCCAGCTCCCCGAACCGACGGGAAAAAAAATGGTTACCTTCTCCGACGCAAACACGAACGCTGTATCTGACCCCAGACGCAAACCAAACTCGTCCCGCATCCTTGGGTTCAGCTGCTTGGGTGTGAAGCATTGTCTTCCTTTCGGCAATAATGTGAGTGCGTCTGTAGAACGGCTCGGGGGTTCCACGATGGCTGTTTGGCTTGCGATGACACCCGAGACGACATCCAATCCTGGTGTGCTACGTACAGCAGTGATGTATCTTCCTTTGTCCCGCCATGCTTGTATTGTGTCCCGCCCTGCTTGTTCCAAACAAAATTTGCAGTCGGTACCAGAGCGTCCGCACACCACCAGCTACCTGCTTTGGTAGGGTTAGTGTTTGGTTTTACATTGGCCCGCAAGATCTTCGGGTTTTGCGCGAGAGTTGAACGGAAAGATTTGACAGAGCCTCTCGAACCCAACAACAAGCTGTTCTTTGATGGGTCTTGAGCCATATTCACCTGATATTTACGAAACCCCTTCTCCGCCGAAAACAAAGAGAGGACCTACTGTACTGGAGACTACAGTACTCTACCTACCAAAACAGACAAGTGGCCTGCAGACAGTTGGATGGCACCATAACTTCGTGGAAAGCCGAAGAATGCGTCATATTAATTAAACCGCCCGCGGGTCAGACTGCCGAAAGATCGAAGTAGACAAGAGGTTTGTTTGGAGAGGGAGATAACATAGCAACAAAAAACGTTGCACCAAACGGGTCCAGGTTTCGATGTGTGGACATGTTTGATACACCTAGAGTTTGCGAGCTTTCCACAGGAGAGCCTGGGCGTGTGCTAGAGAGAGAATAGGCGAGGAGGTCTGCAGGCATTGTGTTTGGGTGGAACGTTCCCCTGCCCCGATGGTATCATGTAGACAGCCTGACGTTTATTAGAATCGCACCGATCTTCCGGTCAACATGAGTTCAAAGTCAATCACCTGACCCTCACGCGGTTCATCCTGGGCTGTATCCACGACTACGTTGCAGAAAAGTGTGAAATTTCCAATCCTCCCCCCCTCCCCAGTTCCTCCCCCCCCCCCGTGTTTGCCATCGGGGTTGGGTTTTCGTCGCTTGGCAACG